TTGCGCGTGATGGTTATCACAAAAATTTAAATAAATAGAAATAAAAATAATTTGACGAAATGCGTAGAAACTAGAAACATTATGGAAAATTGGTCGAAATTGAAGTATGAAAACGTTATGGATATATGAATATATAGCAAAGGGGTTACCATATTTGCAGTACACAATTTCAACACTAAATGCATTTCAAAGACATCCATTTTTGGCAGGACAGTCAAGTTAAGTTTGTAGGGCTAAAGCTGGTTGTTGACATCCTGCTACCTCCCTTATATAAGGGAACGATAAATATAATAAAACAGCGTTGGCAAGGATGAAGGCAGGATGTTGCTAAACATTTATTTTAACAGTTTTAAAAATCTATTACTTCCAAATTTTTACAGATATAAGTGTTAGTTCTTCAAGTTTACAATATAAAGGAGTCTTTTTCGCCACAAATATATTACTGAAACAAGCTTTCTATGCATAATTTCCGCAAATCACAGTTTCAAGGGCACCTGTATGAATTCAATGACTTTCTTGCTCAATCGACGTAAGGGTTTGAGTCTCGAGACAAAAAAAGCTCACTAGAACGGGAATGAGAGAGGGATGAGGTTGTGAACAGATCAGTATCTGACCCGAGTGCGTGTCGCTCAACGCAAAGCCGCCAACCACTGCAGATGTCGTGTGGTGCTCACGTACGAATCAATGCGCGCTTTTGATTTGCTAGAAGTGAGACATCTATAGTGGTGGCGGCACCGCCAAATGAAGAACATTTGTAAATCCGCAAGTCCCACATTAGCGCTGTGAGCTCAGTCAAATGTCGGTGTCCTACGTGGCTGACATCTCCGATGGCAGTGGCTTCCTCATCCTCCTGAAACTTCTTGCTCGGTAAGTTGAATCTCCTAAATTATTGGTTCTTCCCAGTCTAGCCTCCAGGCAAATTACGATAGGAAACTGAGGAAATATGAAATAGTGCGTGAGTGCAATCTTCAACTTTTTTCACTTCTTCTGAACTCAGCTTAACAACCAAGGGGTAGCTTCATGCATGCAGTCTCATTTGGGATGTTTTGATCTTTAGATTCAGCGAATATTCCCATGTCAAACTTGGGAATTCAAGTTGGCAAACGCATGTTTACAGTTATTCATGATCGAATATCTCGCATATATACAATTAAATAACTGAAAGTTGGACAGAATTTATGGCTTTCTCATCGTCAATATTCATTGTTCTTACTCCACTCGCATGGTGCCTTCGAAGTGTTGAGGTCATTGGGATTGGGAGGGGGAAGGAGGTGGAAGGGAAAGTTATGAGCAGTGTGAGCATACCCTACATCGCCTTCCCCCAGTCCTAATGACCTCAACACGCTGACCACGCCATGCGAGTGGTGTGAGACCGATGAATATTAACAATAACAATATGAAAAATATGAACTTTCAGTGATTATTTTTTGCTTATATAATTCAATAGGCCTGATTATTAATTGCTGAACACCTATGATTGTCCTAGTGATAGTTGTTGATTTTTACGACGGTCATCCACTCACCATCCGGAAAAAGTACCATAATTTACGAGAGGGTTTTCGTTGGAGCCTCATTACTTGGCACTTAATAGTTACTTCTAGTCTGTTTGCAACTCCAGTGTCGGGCGGTGCGTGGAGGCAGCTGGCAGCTTTCGAAAGGCTCTTCATGCATAACATTACTTGCCCAGAGTTGCTGTCGCTGCAGTTTGATCCTTCGTCGGTGAGCAACTATTCGCTCCAAGTATCCATTGCACTTTTTGCAGTTCAGCAAATTCACCTTTCGGCTTAAGTAAATATGTGTTGATCCACCGTTATAGCGTACAAATGCAATTTTTTCGTGACTTATTAGTTGTAGTTGAAGTTCACTTCTTGCGTTATATTTGTTGACTCTCTGAAGACATAAACACAATCTTGGTGGATGAAGATAACATCAGGGAAGGGTAGCTGCTAGTTTGTCTCCTTGTACATCGTAAACTGCAGGTTCGGAAAAATAGTGCATAACTGTATTTTGATTTACAGCAATTGATCCCTTTCGATGACTTCAACGTTGTTGCTCATATACGGTGGCGGGAATTTCGGTCTGCGTCGTCGGAAGACCAGCAACGCCAACCGTTATAAGACCGCCTGGGCAGTGAGCACGGAAAGTGCGAAGCCATTTGCGTACCTCTCATCTGCTTGATCTGTTAAAAGTGCAGTATGTTTTCAGGTAGAATTTAAGGAGCTGGAGGATTTTGGCGTTTCATAGGTTGTTCTCAATTTCATGCTTTTTTTCGTATGACTAGTTCGATAGTTTCAACCGCCGTGTCTTGCGGAATAGATGTAAAAAGAGGACGTGTAATCAAAAGATATCATGACACTTTTTCGCAGGAGGCTTACCTCTTTAAGTTTTATCAATTATTGTGTTGACTAACTGACACTGGTCTTCGAATTAGCGATTAGAATGCTATGAAGTGGAAACGGTCAATTTACCAGTCCGCAGGTGTGAGAGTTCTTCAGTGATACGATGGACCGGAGAGGAGCGTCCTCCTGGTGCACTTCAAGCAGACCGTAGAACCATTCAAAGCCGTTTCTTGGGCTCTTACCACGTGATGGTTTATCGGCAAAGTGTAAGTCGACCATCGTAAACAACGCTGCATTGTTTTCACGTTTCAGTGTGGTTGGTTTTAATCTCGCATGAGGAATTGATCCGCAACTTAACTTTTGGCCTTCTGAAAGTAGTCTATCTTGTCTACACGCCTTCTCCGTCAGTCGTGAGTTGTCTTAGTGCTACACGTTTCACCTTGGGAAGCAAGTCGCGTGATTTGCGAGCCACGGGAAGGGATGACGCTTGGTTTGAAGAAGGTTCTTTATT